TCAGTTTCTTCTGAGTGCACAGTCTGCCCGGAACAAGGAGATCTTGTGTGAACTGCTCTGGGGATTTGCATCCAAATCAGCTCTAGCTATCTCACTGGCATCCCATGGCGCCATCTACTGCCCAAAAATGGAAGCGCCTTCCCTTCCTTCCTGATTTTCCTCCCTCGCACTTCAAGTCCTCTGTGTGTGTGTGTGTGTGTGTGTGTGTGTGTCTAGTGATTCCACTTCCTTCCCAACAACTTCCTCCCTTCCCTACTACCCATTTATGTATAGGATGTAAGCTGGTCCCTTGAGCCTATCTTGGCCTCAGTTTCTTCATTCAAGATTTCAAGTCCCCAATCTAGCACGGCTTCGGTCTAGGTGCCTAGAAAGTAAGCACCTTCTGTGTATTGGTCTCTGTCTATGTTTGCGCAATAACACAGACAGAAGTAGAGTTGAGGCTCAAGTGGTAAAGTGCTAGCCTTGAGCACAAAAGCTCAGGGACAGTGCCCAGGCCTCAAGTTCAAGCCCCACAACAACAACAACAAAATCACTAACACAGACAGACACAATCATTACACACCCTTTATATTTTTATTGAGGAGAGAAAGCTTTAGCATACAGAGCAATTTCTTATCTTCACAACGGAAGTAATACAACAATAACACAATAGTAACAATAACACATTTGTTTCAAAGTGGTTTCTTCCCGAGCTTCTGGGAATCCTTGGGTTGCTCCCATCCCCTTGCATGCATTTCCCACCCACCCACCCACCCTCAACCCTCTCTCAAACCCAAGGAAGTACCCAAAGCCCACAGTTCTTCTTACGGCTCTTGTGGCTGTCACATCACAACAAGTATTGAAGATCTGGGAAAGGGAGAAAAAAGTCAAAGAAAAATCCAAGCCCTCTCTGTCCCCGGAGGTCTGGATACCAGCTCATTGTTCATCTGCTCTCTCCCTGGCTGAGGCTATGTAGGTTCAGGGTGAGAAGCACCATGGGAACAGGCAGGGCCTGTGCTGAGGTGTCCTTGGAGGGGAGTGCAAGGCACCTGTCCTTTGCACATCTCCACAAGCACATGGGCAGCAAGGCCAGCATGATGACATCAGCAAACAGTGTCCACAGCCTTGAAGAACAGCAGTTCCCCTTCTGGAATTCTCACCTGAGGAAATAAGCTGAAAAACAGACAAAACCATTTTCATAAGGTTGTTCACTCCTGCTCTAGTGGGAATGAGGGAGAAACAGACCATTTAAATGTCTAACAAGAAGTTACTTAATACTTCAGTTTGCCCAATTACATTGGTGGCAGCCATTTTAAACTCTGCTGATGAACAGCTAGAGCTGGCAAGATGATCTCAACTTTGAAAGAACATGCTAGAATGAAACGCAGCAAGTATGCATCTATGGGTGGGATTCTTAATGGGGGAGGATATTTTGTCCTTAAGAGTGTTCCCTATTTTCCAAATTTTCTATAATGATTATATATTACTCTTCTATTTGTGAGACCTTTTGAAAAGACAGCAACAAGTTATAGGAGCCTAATTCCACTGATCTCCAGGCTGAGAAACAAGTGATTTAAAAAAGAGTCTTACCTCCTATAGATGATCAGAGATCTCACCCAAAACCAGTCTGAGGACTGGGTCTCTTTGTGACTCCTCTTCCTCCAGCTCCTTCCTCTGGCCTCCAGGCCCAAAATCCTACAGTTGGGCTGAAGTTATCTGTCAGACTCCAGTGGGGCACAGAGACTCCATTTACTATACTTTCTTCTTTCTGCTCAGACACTTGGGTTGCACTTATGCAGACAGTTCAGTGTCTAGGGGCAAGCCAGGCCAGCAGTAGTTTCGGCTGGCATCTTGCAACTAGAAGTGACATAGTAAATGTGCAGTTTTCACTGAAGAAGCAGTGTTTTCTGGTGAACAGGAGATCTGTTTATAAGGGTATCTACATTTGCTCCCAGAAGCTACAGCATTGCATACAAGACAGTCACCCCCTTAAGCCACTAGGTAGTCACCCCTTAAGCCATGCTGTGAAAATCAAAGTGCAGCAGTAGACTGGGGGACTGACCCTCAAATGAGAGCCATGAATGTATCTGGCCACAAGGCTGCAGTGATGCAGTTTCTAGCACCAACCTTCCTCTCTCCCCTCAGATCTAAGAATCCTTAGAATTGGAAGAAGCTCAGAGAAGGTTGTAGGCGGGGTTCTCTCTCTCTCTGTCAGTGTGGCTTCCCTCTACAGCAAGAGCCACTTCTACCACTTCTAGGAGACAGTCTCCTGCCACAGGCTTTCAGCTGGGGGCTGCAGTCCAAGGCCTGGCAGGAGGAGGAGGACCCTGTCCATAAGGCAAGAGTCACCTGTAGGAATGTCAAAATTACTTGTGCAGCCTCTTCCTCCTCCTTGCCCACTCCCAAGTTCCTACCCCCTTTAGGCAGCATCAAGAAAGAGAGTGGAGACCGTGGTGTTGAGCTTTGTCTGCAGAGGGGTGTCCAGGAGGTCAGTGTGATTATAGAAGGCCCTATGTTTGGCCAAACTAGCCCAAGAGCCTTGTTAAGAGTCTTGAGAGGAGGTAAGTGCAGAAACTGGAAATAGATCCAGCCTGCCATAGTCAGCCAGATGCAAATAAATCTCAGTCAAGGTGTCCATTTGGCATACAGCTTTGTATACTCTCACTGTAGGTTTCTCTCCAAGACCCTTTGGCTGAAAGTACAGCATGACACAAGTGTAGGCTTCTAGATATATTTCTTGATTCCATCCTGCTTGCTATCAGTTCTATCTAGGGAGTGGCCACAGCAGCTTTGGGAGTTCAGTGTAACCTGTCCTTTCAATCATTGGGGCAGATCAGTGAGGCATTGGGTGAAGTCTCAGTCAGCCAATCAGGATAAAAATGTAGAACACAGGGCAGAGAAAGTCACGAGAGGCAAGGGTTTGGAACAACTAGAGGGGGACACAAGGGAGTGACCAGTTCATTGAGGCCCAGAAACTTGCTCTCCAGCTTGTAGTGAGAATGAGCCAAACACATGGCAAGAAAACAGCTACTGCTGACTTCTCCTTTCCCAGGTGACTTTAGCTGGACATATGTCACTCTCTGGTCAGGGCTGCAAGACGGTCTGAAATTCTGCAGGTCTTCTTCAGGTTCTGCAAGCCTGGAACTCCTATAAGGACTGGTCAGTAGTCAGGGTAGATCTGGCAGCAGTAGCAGGGGCAGGGGACGCAATAGAAGGGTGTGTTCTGGGTGGCCAACTCACCCCTGCATTCACACGCGAATTCGGCCACGAGCAGCTCGGTGGCCCCCCTGTCTTGGAGTGAGGCGAAATAGCACTGGAGGGCGCCTTCGAATTTGGCGTTGACCCAAGCGACCTGCACGGCGAATCAGTGGTGGAGAGCTATAAAACGGCGAATTGGTACCTGGAAGGCCCTCCAGAAGTGGGACTCGATTCTGGTTCCTCCGTCGGCTGGAATGTATTATGGGAGGTGACATGACCAGGAAATTCTCAGCATGGTAGCCAATTGAGGAGCTAGTCTGGGTTGAAGTGTCCACAAGGACAGGCTCCTCCATTTCCATCAGCTCCTCTGGTAAGCCATGGTGGTAGTGGTGATGGTAGTGATGGTGGGCTGAGTGATGGATCTCCACACTCTCTTGCTCCTGCTCTGGATCCACGCTCCCCACCTCAATTACATCTTCATCCTCATTCTCATCGTCAACCATAATCCTCCTCATCTCCTCTTTCTGTTTCATCTCCTCCTCTTCCTCCTCTTCCTCCTCCTCGTCATCCCCCTCCTCATCCTGATCTTCATCCTCCTCCTCATCCTTTATTTCTTCCTCCTCCTTCCTCATTTCTTCCTCCTCTTCCTCTTCCCTCATCTCCTGGTGGAAAACCCTCATGTGTTGCCCCATGTCCTTCAAGTAAAGCCTGTTACCACTTTCCTCTTCACCCTCATCCTCATAGTAGTGCTCCTCATCTTCATTTTCATCCTCATTGGGGTTGGGAGTAAAAGAGAAGAAGACATTGCGAACCCCAGGAAGTGGGATTGGCTTGGGTACACGTACCTTCCTTTCTATTTCCACACACTCGAGAATCAGCTCATCCAGGTCAGCCATTTCAGTGGACCACAAAAGCTCCTTTCGGAAGAATTCCGACAGGCCTTTGAGGAATTGGTTTTGGAGGCGACAGTCATCCCAAGGCAAGAACTGGGCTAGAAACTGAAAAGCATCTGCATAGCTGCCCAGGGTACAGTCTCCCTGCTTGAGCTTGCGGATGGCCTTTTTAGCCACACGCGGGGGGATGGGGCCACAGAATTCTTTACGGATTTCATCCAGGAAGAGCGGGAAGTTGGCATGCAGGGAGCTTCCCTCCTGGGTAACTGAGATAGCCCAGTCCCTAGCTTCCCCTGTGAAATAGGAGATCAGAAAGGCCACCTTTTCAGCACCTCCAGAGAAATGATCCTCATGATCAGCTATAAAGGTCTCCAACTGCATCAGAAATTCTGCCAGATAGACTGGGTCGCCTGAAAAAGGCTCTATGTCGGGCCGCTCCAGGAGTGGCAGAAGGGCCTGCGGGGGCGGCTCCTTGGGCACAGGGCACAGCAGCTCAGAGGGGGATGAACTGACTGACAGAGGAGGGTCAGTGGACCCGTCAGGGTTGGTGTAATCCTGTACCACGTTAATCAAAAGATCATCTGAGACATACTCTGGATCCGTGCGTGGGGGAGGCCAGCACAAGAAGGGCACTTCTTCCTCGGGAGTGGGGTCAATTTCATTGAGCGGGAACTCAAAGTTCTCTTCAGTAAGGACAGGCACTATGGGCACTGGCCAGCGTATGTAGCTTGAGACATTGCTCCGCAAAGAATTAACCTCGGCCAGGGCTCTTCCTAGCTGCAGGCCCAAACTGGCATTCTCCCCACGAAGGGCATTTAATTCTTCTCGCAGGGCCACATTTGCCATGCGGAGGCTATTGAGATTTCCTGCCGCCTCAGACATCTCAACTAGCTTGGGGTTCTGAGGCTCTGGCAGTGGGGGAAGGGAGCTATGGGCCGCTGGAGCAGGCAGAAATGGGGTGGCAGGAAGCGAGAGGAGACCGAAGTGCGGCGGAGGGGCACAGCGAGGCCGGGCTACACCCACTGGGGCGAGCACCTAGGGAGCTTGGGGGCACAGGGCCCCGCCGCTCGGCCCTGGACGCGTTACCTCGTTGGCGGGTTCACAGAAGGCAGAGCAGGCCAGCAGGCATGAGGTATTGGACACTGGCGTGGCGACTCAGTAGCAGTGGTAGCGATCAGGAGTACCGAAGCTCCAATGCTGGCACAGCGGGGAGGGAGCGGACTGCGGCAGGATCTGTCGAGGAAAAATCTTGCGGACCGCGATTTCCTGGGCCTTTTAAATGCTGCCAGGCATCTACATACGCCACGCCCATAAGGGCGGATCATCGGGAACCATGAACACCCATTGGCTGGGGCCGCTGCTCCCCCACCCACCCAATACCTTCCCCCCCCCCCCCTCGGCTGTGCCTCTCACTGACTCTCTCCTTCCCTAGCTGCAGCTAACTCGGGTCGGGAAAATTCGACAGCGACTGCCCACTCGAGGTCGTCATGGCAACAGCCAGTGAACGTTTTCCTCTCCTCGGGCAGGCCCCCGAGTGTAGAGGAACTGCTTCGCGAGGCGCAGCTCAATCTCCAGAGCCTATTACAAGGTACTGAGAGGGAGGGGGGCTGCTGCCAGAGCCCAAAGGCCAGTTGAGCAGCACAGCAGCAGGAGGGAGGCAAGAAGAAAGAGTCCCGTGACCAGTGAGAGAAAGAAGAACAGTTTCATAGCTGTCGAAAATCACAGCACATGTTTTCCATCTTTTTTTTTTTCACCTTCCAGATTGATGATTCTAAATGACTCTGTTTCCAACTTTGTCCTACCCGCTCCCCCATTGTTCAACTCAGTAGACCATGAGGGAACAGGGTAGCAGCTGAGGCAGGGCAATGAATCAAGTCCTTCTTAGTGTGAACAGGGTGTTTGGGGAAAATTCCACAATATGGGCCCTCCAGACCTCTCCACAGTTGCCCCTGCCTTTGGAATACTGGCACCAGAACATAAAAGGAACATCAGTGTCAGGATTTTCAACTCTGGTTTTCACTCTGCTCCTACAATAGCCTTGTCCACATATCTCCTGGGTAGCTACTGCCTCACCAATGTTAAGGCCAATAAATAGTACCCAAAGTTGCCTATATTGTACTCCTAGCCAGACTGAGCTTCTCCAAGTACATCACATCTCTGATCTGGGGATGTAACTCAATGTTTAAGCACTAGCCTAGCATGTCAGAAGCCCAGGGGTGCCCTGGAGTCCATCCTCAGCACCTCATAAATGAACAACTTGGTACTAGCCTTGAGTTTCTAAAAGCACCTGGCATGGAGCTACATCCCCCCAATGATGCCAAGTGAGCCTCCCAATTGGACTGCCAACCATCATAACGTCAACAAGAAGTCAAGGAAGCCGGGCGCTGGTGGCTCACCCCTGTAATCCTAGCTACTCAGGAGGCTGAGATCTGAGGATCGCGGTTCAAAGCCAGCCCGGGCAGGAGAGACTGTGAGACTCCTATCTCCAATAAACCACCAGAAAACCGGAAGTGGCGCTGTAGCTCAAGTGGTAGCGCACTTGCCTTGAGCTGAAGAGCTGAGGGACAGCGCCCAGGCCCATAGTTCAAGCCCCACGACCGACAAAAAAAAAAAAGTCAAGGAACACCTCAAGCCTTGTGTTCAGATAACCAAGTGCCACCACACATTGAGTCAGTATGTTCTGTGCTGCTGCCAGGGGTAAAGTTAAGGCCATTGAATAGACACCCAAAGGGAGGAAGATTCTGCCTCCAGATAACAAACTTTTCTAACATGCTGGACAGCCCCAATTGTCCATAGAGGCAGTGAGCCATATTTGGAGGGGGGGAATCGCCTCCCTTCCCTTTAGGTATGTGCCCTGAGGCTGGATAAACATCTTAGAAGGGGTCTGAGTACAGAATAAGGCATTAAACTGGAGACCCCTGAGAACAAGCCCAAATCTCCATATTACTAGATATCTGTTCAAATGTACATAGTCATGAATGTTCTTTTCTTGCACTTCCTTCTTATCTACATCATCACTTCAGTCAACCCCATTCAAATCTTATGCATCCTTCTTACTCTTTGATGATGCCCATGAACTTCACCTTCTTCTGCACAATTATCTTCCCTCTCCTTCTTAGGCCTGACCCCACCCACAGTGGAACCATGCGTACAAAAGCTCAAGTAAGAGTTCTTGCATCTGGGCTTGCTGGTGCATCCCTATAATCTCAGCACTTGAGAGGCTAAGGCAAGAGGATCACAAGTTGAAGTCCAGCCTGACTACATAGTGAAATCTCTGTCTTAAAATTAAAAATAAAAGTTCTGTATTAGAAATTTTTAAAAAGTTCTTGGTTCCAAAGAGAAAGCTCCAGACAACTTCCCAGGGCAAATTCTTCTTTCATACAGATCAGTTCTTTGTTAGTGTTGCAGAAAATCTGAAGAACTATAGAGCTTCAAAGAGAAGACCTTGTAGCAAAAAGAAAGAAAGAAAGAAAGAAAGAGAGAGAGAAAGGAAGAAAGGAAGGAAGAGAGTGAGAGAGAGAGAGAGAGAGAAAGAAAGAAAGAAAGAAAGAGAAAAAGTCAATATCTTCTGCATCTGTGTAGAGCACTTGTATGGGGGCCATAGAGATGAGGGTTTGGTCCTCAAAGCAACATGGCTTGAATTTATTCATTTTTTTTCTTTCTCTGGCTATTTATGAAGCAGAACTTTTTCACTTCCATATCCAAGTGGTTCAAACACCAGGAAAATAACCCAGTGAAGCAATATGAGTGAGGCCTAGCAGCTAGTGCAGGAACCCTGTCTTTATGGTCCTCCTCAGCCTAGCACTTGGCCATGGCCCCCTAGAGTGTGTCTCCACTGTGCTATTTTTCAGAAGAATATGAGGAACAGTACTCCGAGGCCAGACTTCTGGGGCAGACCTTCCGCTCTTCTGATGAGGCCCCTGACCTCACTCACAACACAAGGCCCCAGTCTGCCAGGCGTCTGGAGTTTGTATTGATGGTGAGTTGCCTCTTCCCCCACCTGGGAGAGCCAGCGTGCACCCACTGACAGGGAACCTTGAAATGCTTACATTCCCCCCTAGAGCTGCTGCTCACCTCTGTTCACCAGCAGAACTAACTGAAACCCTGCCAGAATGAGCCCTGCACAGCAGGTACTCAGCTGACAACCTGGCCCTTCTTCCTTCCTCCCAGATCAAGCCTCCAACCACTGCCTAAGCAGTCATCCTGTCAGAGCACTCATCACTTCAGAAGCACACCCTTTCAAATATCACCCTCTCTCCCAACAGACTACAAATCGGCAGCTGAGTGAGGATGAGACTACTATCCAGGGTGTGAGGGCCCTGGAGCCCCCCCTGAGCCTTTCTCCAGCCGACAAGCAAACTGCCTGGAATGGCCCCTTCCCTCTGCCAATCTTGGAAGGGAAGTGGTGGCCTCAGCCCTGCTCCACTCAGTCTGATCTTGTGCCCATCAACATTTCTGGTAGAGTTACTTAGCATCACCTATTTGCTTCTCTCCGTGCCACCACAACCCATTCTCCAAATGTACTTTCACTAACTGCTGGGGAGGGAGATCCATTCTCTTTGCTATCAGCTCACCCTGCACTGTCACAATCATGGCTCTTGTCAGGGAATGAAGGAATGCAGAAGAGGGGGCTCTGGCTGCTCTTCCTTCATTCTTGTGGAACAGAATGTTCCACAATGTTAGGAACTTGAATGCCCTTAGAAGCTTATATGGAAACAAAATTTGTGGATTATCTTTAGTTTGTTCTTTCATTAGATACTAACTCTTCCAAGAAGGTAGGCCTCTTCAATTTGTTTGGTAAGTTTTTCACACACAAAAAGAGGAAGTAGGAGGAGGAAAGGGAAAGATTTGAAGGCCAAAAATACCAAACATACTAAAGGATATGGATAATATGAAGACAATGTATGTAACCCTTCTGGCTATGACTCTAGGGAAACACTATGTCAATTCATTTTTTTTGGGGGGGGGTCCAGTCATGGGGCCTGAACTCTGGGCCTGGGCGCTGTCCCTCAGCTCTTCAGCTCAAGGCTAGCGCTCTACCACTTGAGCCACAGCACCACTTCTGGCTTTTTTCTTTTTGCTTATGTGGTGCTGAGGAATCAAACGCAGGGCCTCATGCATGCAAGACAAGCGCTCTACCACTGAGCCACCTTCCCAGCCCCTGTCATATTCGTTGTTGCTCCCCACTTCATGCCCTACAAAACAAATAGAAAAAGGGTCTTGCCAAAGCCAATGTCTTAGGCCTGTAATCTTAGTTACTTGGGAGACTGAGATATAAGGATCAAGGTTCAAAGACAACCTGGCAAGAAAGACTGTAAGACACTTCTAATCAACTACAAGAAAGCTGGAATTGTCGCTGTGGCTTAAGTGGTAAAGCACCCAGCCTTGAGGGAAAAAGCTAATAAACAGATCCCAGACCCAGAGAAGGAGACAAGGAGGGACTTGATGAAATCTAAACTTCATTAACCCAAAGGAACCTACAGGGAGCTTGCAAGCCAGCACTGGCTTTGCAATGCTGAAAAAAGTTGGTCAACGTAAAGGAGAACAGCTCTGGCATTTGTGATGATGTTCCCTGAATATGGGACTATCCACTGCTATTATTCATCTAGAAAAAAATGAGAAGATAGGCGATGAAGTAGAGCCCATAGCCTAGGGAAGTATGCCAAGAAATGTAAGGTCGTAAGAGAAGAGACTTGCAAAGCAATTCATTTTCTAAAAACCTCTTACTCTCAATGAGGCTGTTCCTGAGTTTTATCCAAAGAACTAAGTACTTGAGCAAGGCATGCAATAGTGCAGCTGGACAGGAAGGGTCTGCCAAGCCAGCTGCTAATTGGGAGACAAAGAGGTGAGACACATATCTGGATGGCTCCATATCCCACCTCACCTTGTCACTGTCCCAGCAAGTTCTCAGGAGCCAAAGGCCAATCCAGTACTTTAAGAGAGACAGGGCTCACACACCATGAAGCAGCCAGTTTGGGTTGAATGTGACCAAGTGTTTGTGTGGAGGTCAGTGGAACAACTTCTTGGAGACTCCAAGCTTCCCCTGGCCCCTATAAAGATATTTTTTGTTGGTTATAGGGCTTGAACTCTGGGCCTAGGCGCTGTCCCTGAGCTCATCAGCTCAAGGCTAGTGCTCTACTACTTTGAGCTACAACACCACTTCAGTTTTCTGGTGGTTAATTGGAGCTAAGAGTCTCACAGACATTTCTGCTCAAGCTGGCTTTTAACCACAACCCTCAGATCTCAGCCTCTTGAGTAGCTAGGATGACAGGCCACCAGCGCCCAGCCCCTATAAGATTTTTTTTTTACTGAGAAAAGATCACAACCAAACTAGACATTGTAGCTTACAATCTCAGCCCTTGAGAGGCTGAATCAAGAGGATTGAAAATTTGAGGCTAGCCTAGGCTACATAGTGAGACCCTAAGAAGTGGTGCTGTGGCTCAAGTGGTAGAACACTAGCTTTGAGCACAAGATGCTCAGGGAGAGCACCCAGGCCCTGAGTTCAAGCCCCACAACTGACCAAAATAATACATCAATGGTAACATAGTGAGATCTGTCTCTGAAAACCAAGGGTTGAGGGTGTGGCTTAGTTGAAGAGGACTGGCCTGGCAGGAGCAAGGCCCTATCTATGTTCCATCCCCAGCAATGCAAAAATAAGAAAAAGAGAAAAGATTACATACAAGTAAATCTAGTCTCATCCTATTACTTTGTATTTATGTTTCTCTTCTAGCTGTACAACTGAATAATCACTTGAGGACTCTTAGAAAATACTTCTATCTAGAGTCTACTCCCAGAGAGTTCAGTCTTCTGGAATGGAATCCAGGTTTAGGGGTTTCAAAGCTTTCTGTTAGTTTCAATATTAAGCCAAGGTTAAAAACTTATAGGTGACCTGGGTGTACCTCTGAGACCCAGCATGAATACCCAGCACCTAATTGGGAGGGATGGGGAAGAAGTGCCACCCACATTGATGCTATTCATGCTTACGCTACTGCCATCATTCCTTCTCTCTACTTAAGGCCAGTTTCCACTATACTTTAAGCAGAAACCAGGATGCATCCAAGTGTCTTTATTTTGGCTACAGGGCAGCAGTTTGATAAACATGCAAGTTTGCGACACTCGTTGTTTAATACAGAGACAGCTGTGAACCCCAAGTCCACCCTGAGGCGGAGGCGGACCATTATTGGAATCTCTAACTTTTCCCAGCGAGAACAAGGTGACCCCAACGCGGCTGATCCCTTTCCCAGACCCTTCCCCTCAACTGTTCAACTAGTCCTGCCACTTAGTAACATTATGAGGATGAGGAGCAAGAGTAATTCAGAAGAAAGGGGCTTTGAATGTCCTGAGAAAGCCAGTGTGGTGAAGGACAACCAAGGTCAAGTTCAGCAACTAAGTATGGAGAGTAGGGTAATAAAGTCATCACATAATGGTCTTCCATTGTAAATGTAATATAACCACACATGCCAAATTTATGCACATAGATAAGGAAAGGAATCATGACTAAAAATACCATCTTAACAGACCATTGCTGTCCAAAAAGTATAGATCAGGGCTGGGGGTGGGTGTGACTCAGTGGTAAAACATTTGCTTAGCATATATGAGGGCCTAGATTCTATCCCCATCACTGAAAAGAAAGAAGGAAATACTCAGACAAGAGAAAAATTGGTATGAGCCCTGGTCTCTTTATTTTTTTTATTTTTATTGTGAAAACACTGTACAGAGGGGTTACAATTACATGGGCAAGATAATGAGTACATTTCTTATCAAGCATTGTAGCCTCCTCCTTTGTTTCCCCTTCCCATCCCATCCTTCCCCTGCCCCCGTCCTGGTCTCTTTATAAAGCCTTGACCAAGTTATATAGTCTGTGAGCCCCAGCTTCGCCATCTACATCTTGTGAGGATCATATCGACCCAGGAGAGTCTTGGTGAGGATTCAGAGCTGTTGTAGAGTCTGTGCCTGAGATATAGTTGTTGTTCTATCAATGGTGGTTGTTAGTCTAAATTATCATCACAAAGATAGTAATCATAGCAGCAGTAATAATAATGATAGAACAGTCTTGTGTATATCAGGAAGGTTCTTGAACTTGAGATCATCTGAATGGTGTCATCACATTGGTAGGTATATTTTGAAGATTAAGAGTAACAGATTCCAGAATCTCAGCTGGGCACTTAGTGTTCAATTATAATGGACTCCTGGTTCGCTGCTGGGATTACAAGTTCTTAATCAGTTTGTCACCAGGATTGATGTATGCTGATGTCTATAATGGTTCAAAGAGCTTGAGGGAGAGCAGACAGGGAAATCCAAGGTAGTCCCACATAGCACTTGTACTCTGAAAGAAATCATCAAAGCTACAAAGACTTTGGCAGCTATCTGGCCAATCCAAGGGCACTCTGTGACTCATTATGTAGTGGTGGGCAAAAGACCAAGTCTCCTAGCATACTCATTTGTAGAAGGAAGAACGAAGGAAATCTGACAAAGCTATTGGCAAATGCTTCTTTGCAAAAAAAAAAAAAAGTAACTGCTATCTCAAAACAGCTGATGGGGGAGTATCGTTTGCTGCTTCTCCATAATGCTCTTATGTTTTCCCTCCTCTTTCAGGTCACAGCAACAGCCCTGCAGACAGTGTGACCCTCTCTGCCACCTCGGATGCCAGGCCCAGCCACTCCGCCCCACCAGGGATTCATGGAATAGTTACCATTGGGCAAGAAGCACGATTTCCAAATTTGACTTCACCAGGACTGAGAAATCCTTCCAGTCAGTCCGGGGACTCTCACCAAGTACGTGGAGATCCAGATCTTCCTAGCATGGAGAGCATGGGGATGGTATATAGTGTCCCCAGTTCTTGCAATGGACCAACAGAATCAACGTTCTCCCCTTCTAGGAAGGGAGATACTTTCACCTATATGACTCCAAGTGCCAACAACCAGAGTAACCAAGTCAATGAAAATGGAAAAGCTCCTTCCTTGGGGAATTCTTGGGTGAACACCCTCCAACCTCTGGTTCCTAAGGAGGCTGCTACTGTCTTTGTCACTCATGATAACCCGGCAGGATGCAGTGGGGTAACCAAATACTCAGAGCATCCTACTCAACGAAGACAAACACTAGGAAGACCTCCCAAGATTGGCCTTCTGACCAGTGGTACTTTGAGGCTAGAGACAGGCCCAGGTGGAGCCAATAGATTCCGGGAGCGATCACTGTCTGTGCCCACAGACTCAGGTACCACAGTAGGGAGCTATGATGAAGAGCTCAAGACCAGCGAGGCTTGTGCCTTACCGTATGCCAGCACAATCTCAGAAGGCAGTAACAGTGCTGATAACATCATGTCACTTAATGCCGAGCAAGAGGCCCGGCACAGAAGACAGAGGTCCAAAAGCATCTCACTCAAGAAGGCCAAAAAGAAGCCTTGCCCACCAATGCGCAGTGTCTCTCTGGTCAAAGATGAGCCCATCCTCTTACCAGAAGGTGGAACAGCATTGCCCAAGGACCAGAGACCCAGGAGCCTTTGCCTGTCCTTAGAAAATCAAGGACATCCTCACTCACTCCACCCAGATGCTCAGGGTCACCCAGCGGTGCCAACCCTCAAAGATCCAGAAGGTACTCATTTCTCCCACCCCTGGTATCTTACTGACTGGAAGTCTAGTGACACCTATCAATCCTTGTCTAGCTCTAGCACTGCCACTGGCACCACAGTCATCGAGTGCACTCAAGTTCAGGGCAGCTCTGAGTCTCTTGCCTCACCTTCCACCTCCAGAGCCACAACACCTTCCCAACTCTCCATTGAGGTGGAGGCTAGGGAGGTATCCTCTCCAGGAAGGCCTACAGGACTGATGTCACCCTCCAGTGGCTATTCCAGTCAATCAGAGACACCTACACCCACAGTCTCCATGTCCTTGACTTTGGGCCACTTACCCCCTCCAAGCAGCAGTGTTCGAGTACGTCCAGTGGTACCCGAGAGGAAGTCATCACTGCCTCCAACATCACCAATGGAGAAAATTTCCAAGTCACGCCTGTCATTTGACCTACCACTGACCTCTCCGACCAGCCTGGATCTATCCGGGATGAGTATCTCCATTCGCAGTAAAACCAAGGTGAGCCGTCATCACTCTGATACCAACTTTGGAGCCAAATTGGCCCAGAAAACTAGCCCCAACCAGCCCATCATGCCCATGGTTACTCAGTCTGACCTTCGTTCCATTCGCCTGAGGTCAGTCAGCAAATCTGAGCCAGAAGATGACACTGAGATCCCAGACTATCCAGAGGAACCTGGAGCCGAAGAAGTCTTCACGTTGCCTGAGAGAAAAGTGAAACCTCCTGTAGCTGAGAAGCCCCCTCTGGCCCGAAGGCCTCCAAGCTTGATCCACAAGCCGCCATCAGTCCCTGAGGAACACCCACTAGCTTCACCAACTTTGGCTATGACCCCTAAGAGTTCTATTCAACATGTGAGACCGCTCTCTCAAGACAGCTACACAGTGTTGAGGAAACCAAAGTCCTCCAGCTTCCCCGATGGACGAAGCCCAGGGGAGTCAACTGTCCTCTCTTCTCTTGCTTTCACGCCTTTTGCCAGTTCCTCTGGTGCTTTCTTCTCAGGAACACAACAGCCTCCCAGGGCAAGTATGGAGGATGATAGCCCCAAAGGGAGAGCATTGCCTCAAAGAATAAGCCTCCAGAGCCAGGAAGAAGCTGAGAAAAAGACCAGCAAGATCCCACCTCCAGTACCAAAAAAGCCCAGTGTGCTGTATCTGCCTCTCACCAATCCTGGAGCTCAGCTAGAGGCTTATGTGGTAGAAACAAGGCTGCCTCTAAGCCCCATCATCACCCTAGAGGAAGAAGGCAAGCATCTCCCCACTCGCAATGACCCTCCATCTCCTGGTAAAAGGATGATTTCAACTCTTCAGGCTGACAGGGGGCAAGAGGCACACTCTTCAGGTTAGTAAACTGGCTGCCACCTTTTTCTTATAATCTCAGGAGGGATGAGCATGAGAGTAGAATGCCAGTAACAGTAGCAGTTATTTCAAATAGTCATCCTCATCCATGGCCAAAAAATAGGGGTATTTTTGAGGATATGAATTACTCTGAACAGGAACCACAGGTCACCCTTACTGCCCTTGGCATCAGGACTTATCTGGGACACCCAGGTGTCCAATGCCAAGCCTTGGTTCAAGTGCTAGGTGATTAAATCAAGCTAGGCCTTAGCATCCTAGAACTTCAGGATCCCATCTACTCAAACTGGTGTGCATTCCCTGCCCTAGGACACCTCCTCACCACACAATAGTTTTTTTTTTTTATTAGGGGCAATAAATTCAGTTTGATGCCTGACTCAGTACCCTCCCAGAACATATTCCGGTGTCATGGCAGATGGGAAGGCATCCATCCTTTCCTTGAGCCTTCCAGAGGAAAGGGAGCTCACTTCTTTAGATGGTGTGAGGCTAATTCTTCCTGAACCCATAAGACTAGGCTAGTCTCCTTTTTGTACTGGTACTGAGGCTTTAACACAGAACCTAAACACTGTCCCTTAGCTTTACTGATCAAGGCTGTCAATCTACCACTTGGGCCATGGCTCTGTTTCCAGGTTTTTAGTGGTTAATTGGAGATAAAGAGTCTCACAGACTTTCCTGCCTACACTGGCTTGGAATCTTGATCCCCAGATCTTAGCCACCTGAGTAGCTAAGATTAAAGGCATGAGCCACTGGTGCCTCACTGTTCTCCTCTCTTTTTGTGATGATGTTTTAATTATAATCCTGTAACAAGTTTAAGCATGCAGTCCATTCCTGTTTATATACACTCACATTTCATGTTGCAAAATTCAAATTCCATACTCCTGTGTTATACCTTTCCTCCTCCTAATGGATGCTAGCTACTATGCTACTTTGGAGTCTGTAAGTTTGATAACTGTGTACCTCTGATAAGTGGATTCAGTCTTTCTTTGGTGTGACTAGCTTATTTTACTTAATGTTCTCAAGACCCATCCATGTTTCTCTTCCTTTTTGAAATTTTTACATTGAACATCAAAATCCCATGACATTTTTTCTTTTGTTTGTTGGTTTGTTGGTTGGTGATACTGAGGTTTGAAACTTAGGGTTTTGCACATGCTAGGCAGGCTCTCAACCACTTGAGTCAAACCCCTAGCCCTTTAGGTTTTAGTCATTTTTTTGCCTGGGGCCAGACTTAGACCAGTGATTCATTCTCCTACCTAGGGCCTCAAGCATAGTGAGGCTAGATCATAGGTGTACCTACAACCCCCAGTTTATTAATTGATATAAGAGTTCATTAATTTTTTGCTCAGGGTGATCTTGACTCACAGTTCTTCCCATCTCTGTTTGCTTCTGAGTAGCAGGGATTACAGTCATGAGCATCTTCTGGTGGTTCCTGGCCTTCTTTAAGCTCATCTGGACTCTGAGTATAAGTTAATCACTGTAACTAAAACAAGCAACCACATCAAAGCCACAAGTTATTTTAGAATATGCTTTCTAAGACTCCACGGGCTCCCTCTGAGATTCAGAAAAGTTCCTCTCTCACCTGCTATGGGAGAGTCATTACTTTAAATTGCTTTCAGCTCAGTGATATTTTTTATTATCTTGGGCATTTTTTAAATTAAAGTTTTGTATCAGCATTTAGGTGCACAGAGGGAATTTAGTTGTGACATTTCTAGTCAGGTATACATCAACTTCACCACCTCTATCATTCTCCCTTCTCTCCTCCTTCTTAAAACAATTTCAACATGTTTCATTGTTCTGTGTTATTATATGCAAATAAATGACTTGGACAATATTCATTCTTGTTAACCTTCTGTTGATACCCACCCTCAGCTCTGTGATTTTTTTGTGCCCATCCTGGGGCTTGAACTCAGAGCTTGTTGCTGTTCCTACACTTGAGCCACAGCTTCATTTCTTGCTTTTTGGAGCTTAATTAGAGCTAAAAGTCTCTCCCACTTTCCTGCCTGGGCTGACTTTGAATGAAAATCCTCAGCCTCTTAAGTAGCTAGGATTACAGATGTGAGCCACCAGCATTTGGTCCTGTAATTTTTTTAAGATGGTATATTACAATGAAATAAGGGACTGTGGTGTGGCTCAGTGAGAGAGCTTTCTAGCATGGGTAAGGCCCTGGATTCCGTCTCCAGCATCAAGCAAACAAATATACAAATAAAAAAACAGCACATGCTCATGTCACCTGTTGGAGAGAATGACTGAGAGACTCTGTCTCTCCTCCCTCCTTCTCCCCCCTCCCCCCACTCCACTGAGGGCAAATCATTAACCTTCAGAACTTCATGTTTCTGGGGCTGGGAAGGTGGCTCAGTGGTAGACCGCTTGCCTTGCATGCCTGAGGTCCTGGGTTCAATTCCTCAGCACCACATAAGCAAAAAGAAAAAAGCCAGAAGTGGCGCTGTGGCTCAAGTGGTAGAGCGCTAGCCTTGAGCTGAAGAGCTGAGGGACAGGGCCCAAGCCCAGAGTTCAGGCCCCACAACCAGACCCAAAAAAATAAAAAAAAGAACCTCATGTTTCTCTTTTTAAAATGGAGACATTAAAAATCCCCTCTCTGCTACCCTTCCAGAGATGCTTTAAACAGCAAATGAACTAACATGAAAATGGATGTGCTTTGCCATATCTGTTGTGGTCAAAGTCAGGCTTTCTGGTTTTTATGCCTAGGGAGTACTGTGGAACCAAACATTGAAGAGAAAAGTTTAATCAGTGATAAAACAGCTGAATGGATTGCGGAGGAAGAGGATGACGTGTTTGTGGCTTCACGCACAACTGAAGATTTGTTTACTGTGATACACAGGTCTGGACTATTTTTTGTTCTTGGTTCTAATTGCAATTGCGTTTCCTGTTTCTACCTAAAGAAAAACTGCTATCTCTAAGCAGCCATTAGAATTGCAACTGGAGCCCAAATATCCACGTATGTGAGCCCTGTCTGGGGCCTCACATCTCAAATTCACTGACGTCTTTGGGTAAAGTGGAGGAGGGGAGAAGAGGGAGGACCAGGTGCTGAGAGAGGCCCCTTGTCTCCTAGCAACTGCTTGGCCTATTGTGGCTCCATCTGCTCTCACAGTTCTGTCTGCAGTCAGAGACATTTAACCCTTTACAGAATTCCTAGTAGCACAAAAATCTCAAGAAGTAATGTGGGGCACTGGGCAGCAAGCCAAAGCAGGGACTTAGGCAAAGGGGGAGCAGATGAGGCACAGGGGTACAAGGTAGGGGATCAATGACAAGGAACCTTGATCTAAGAGCCCAGTTATTAGAGCTGGAACACCAGTTCAGAACAGGATTAACCCCTAATCTAAGCCTTTAGCCTCAACTCCATACATTTGGCCTGGTCCCAGAAGCTTGGTAGGACTCACCTTGCAGGCACTAGTCAAATGACTCCAGCTGTGGGCATTGAAAGGCAGGAGAGGGGTACAATGAGGAAACTGGTGACCTAATGGTAAAAGAAAGCTGATCAATAGTATGCTTGCAAGACTATCGTGTGCATGTATTCAAGCACATCCTTAGGCAAGGAGTTGTGCAAAGCATTGCTAAATATTTGTTCCCAGAATTTATTCAGACCAGATCGTCTCTTATTTAGGTCCAAAAGAAAGCTGCTTGGCTGGAAGGAGCCTGGAGAGGGTTTTGCAGGCAGCAGGCCAAGCTCCCACTCACCAGTGAAAAACACGGCCGATTCTCCCATCAGTGAGTCTTCTTCCATTGCCTCAGGACCAAGTGGCAGCACCAGCCTAGATGCTGGCAGAAATGATGATTTCAAGGCCTTGCTCCAGAAGAAGGGAAGTAAAGCAACTCCCAGGTCCCGCCCCTCAGCTGCTGAGCTGTTGAAGACCACTAACCCACTGGCTCGACGAATCATTGCTCAGTTTTCAAAAGACTATGAAACCACCGACAACCCCAGTACATAAGCCTCAGCTTCAAGAGCAGGGCTTGCTAGGCTTGAGTACAGAAGGGGGAAGAGAAATGGGTTTAGAAAGAAACCACAAGCATAACAAAATAGCCTACATTTCTTTTACATTAACTCACACTCTGGATGGCAGAGAGGCCAATTCAACTAGAGCTGAGATCATCAAGCACTTGAAAAGTCTTCAGACATTCTGCATTCCCACTCTTACACCCTTGTCATGACTGACTAGGGAGTTCCTTATTCTCCCCCAGTGCTTTGAACTAAGAAGAAATCCTGACGTAAGGGGGTGTGTGCCCCTTTTTAGTCAATGTCCTGGCTGCTCTGTCCCTTGAGTCCTATCCCTGAGAAGCACGATGGGGGAGCAGACTAGGGCCTGCCCAACAGGGGCAGGTGGGAGAAGGCCTCATTTCCAATTATCCACTTCTTGTGTAGGGTCATAGAAAGACACCTAAGCCTCCTCAACCACAGTGTGGCTCTCTGCTAGTGAGAGTTTCACAAGTGTGCTCTTATTTTGGCATGAGGTTGATTGGATGGCTTTTGTGGTGCAAAATATGAATGTGAGTCTGTCCTGAAACTTCATGCCTTTTTCAGTTTGATTGTCTATGCGGAGATCAGGGTGATGAGTCTCAATAAACTTTTAAATTCCCCCACCCCACCATTAGCTAAGAAAGAGCCTGACTGGGTGGCTTTGGATGAACCAAGCTTAGCCAACAAATGGACCAGGAATTTGTTCACTCTGATCTAACCAAGATAACTCACAAATGCTCCTTGAGGTCCTTCAAGTGTCTGACATCGTGGACATCCAGGATCTGTGCCCAGCTCATGCTGCACTCCAAGAACGCATTTCATTTGCATATAGGATTCATTACAGGAGGTACTTAGGTGAACGATCAGCATCAACAAAGGCTCAAGGAGGATAGAAAGTAAGTGCATCTTACCCCACATATTCAATTCAGATAAAAGGAAATCATCTGACTCTGTTCCAAAAATCAAGAGCTTATAAACTAAAAAGATCTACCCAAGTCTAAAAGGCAGCCTTACAAATTACAATAGCCCATAACACAAAAAGGGCTACTTTTTGCCATTTATGTGCTGCTAGTTGACCAACTTTCAGTTAACCATATTGGAGGAGAACGTAAGAACTTGGGGAAATGGAATGCTGAAAGAGTTCCAAAAATAATCATTGTGATTCCTTCCCCTCCAACTCTAACAGGCGCTAACTACTCTTGTCAGTTTTTTAAGCAGAGCAAGAACAATGGTTCATCTGATTTCCATAACCCTGATTTCTGCAATGGGGGAGAGTTGTGGAAAGACAGATGAAGTATTGAACAAAGAAAACCTGCTAATCAGTGTTGGGAATATATTATATGAGTCCCAAGAGGTCAAAAGGAAAATTAAACAAAATTGTAGCCTACTTCACAAAGAATGTTCCTTGACCCAACAGATTGGTCAAGTTCCTGGGCGGGGAAGGAAGGGGGAGGATGGGCGGGGGGGGGGGGCAGTCAGCAAGGAGAGAGGACACAGACTTTCAATGACAAGCAGTTCTCTCTTTTGATAGATCACATTCCCACCAATGAGGAGCAAGCTCTTAGTTCAACTACCCATGCTCTAGCTAAATGAAACAGCTGAAAAACCATACTAAGTACTGAAACTTGACTCTCATGTAGAAGCCTTAGGCCCAGGTCCTTGGTCTGCTTCTGAATTCTAGACCAATAAGGAATAGGCCAAGCCTACCAACTGCCTGGCAATCAGCACTTTCATTTAGAAAGAAGCCACTTAATAAACATCTAGGGAAATACCAGCTGCTTTTACAATTATTTGAACTATTTGGTTTGAAGGTCTTAACCAAGTTTCTGAGGGGGGGGTGTTGCTAGAAGTGAAATAAGATATCCAGGCCTTCATTTGTACATGAGTGTTTCACTTATCTGCCCTGGACTCGGAGTTCCAAAGGATGAAACATTGTTCTCTGTAGGGAAATGAAGGAGCTTGTGCTTTTGTCTCGCAAAAGTGAAGGGCTGCCAGGTCCTGTTCCTTGAAAACTATTATGAACAGCTGAACTTTCAAGTATGCAAGTATGGAACTTATATAGTCTAAGACTTGGTACTTCTGCTGATTTTTCTGGAAGCTTTAAAGCTGAGTGCCCAGACACCTTGATGTTTTTCCATCACCTGCATTCCTGCTTTCCTCTATAAAACTCCTATTTGCTTAGAACTTCTTTTTAATTTTTAATTGTTATTATGAAGGTGATGTACTGAGGGGTTACAGTTACATAAGTCAGGCAAAGAGTACATTTCTTTTTGGACAATGTCACTCCTTCCCTCACTCTCTCTTGCCTGGAAATTTTAGAATATCTTCTGTAAAATCACTGTCTCTCAAATGCCCGGTGGTGTCCCCATTGGCAGAGGATTTGGGGAACAGATTGTACAGTCAGACATAACAGCTAAGACTAGAAATATTAAATTAATATTTTGCAGCAAGTGGACCTAGCCCCAAGCAACCCCAAACTAAAAAACTACCAGGCATTGATTAGCAAGCACCTTTCCTACTCCTGTCACTCAACCTCTTTTCTACGCTGGATTAGCATAAACCTAGCTCTTTCCCCTACCCAGGCACTTCTGGGCCACCTGTATCTATTGAGGCTGGAGAAGAAAAGCAACAAGCCCTGCTTAGGAAAGCTTTCAAAGAAGCTCCTGCCACCACTATGACTAGTACAAATAATTATGAGACTAATCTTTAAAGGTAGAATATGGTTGGAGAGAACGAACTTGACCCCAGGAAGTCAGCTTCCACTTTAAGACTTTCCTAACCCTTTGTTGTCCTCCAGTTCCAACCAATAGCAGCTAGATTGGCTTCAATCTAATCAGAAGTAAAGGCATTGTACTTGGTAGTATTAAGCAAGATAGTGTAAGTAGTAAGGCTGGCTTGATTGGTTTCTCTTCTCCTTTTCCTGTACTATTTGGCCTGCCTAGACCTCTTACCTGACCCCCCGACTTGTTCCCACATGAACTACATCTATGGTCAATATCTCAACCATGTGAATGAGGCAAGGTCACAGGCAGTCAGCTAGATTATATTAGCTCAATGATCACACTTTGATCAACCAATCTGATCATGTCACCAATAACTGAGTCTCTAAGGCTCTTCCAACAAGCATTTTGCCTGACACCCACTTGAATGATACAGATCTGATCTCTGTGTACCTATCTCTGAACATATCTGCCCATGCACCTGCCCCCTTCCTCATCCCTGAATTAGGAAAAGGACAAGTTCAAGCTCAATGCCATGTTCCTCACTGGTTCAGCCTTCCATGTTTGCCAATGGTGAGCTTTCACTTTAATATGATTTGCCAGGGCCAGGACTAAGGTGAGGCTACCTAGGTGCCTACAAGGGCACAAAATTTGAGGCGCCTGCTCTCAGGGCCCTGCAAGTGCCTTAGCCTCGTCCCGACCCTGTGATTTTTCACTCTGTAGCATAGCCTAAGTTTCTCTTCTTCCCAGTGTGGTGGTTCTGATTTGGGGGAGATAACTCCCTATCTATTGTCGCACCAAATGTTTTATTGCTATTTTTTCATTCATCGCAAGAAGCCTTTGTATGCCTATGCATTAAAGAATTTTCAGTATTATCAGAAAGCAGCAGATTTCGGGGTAACCTGCTCCAAAACCTGTTTTAGTGGTGTTACCCCACCCCAACCCCCAGGGATAGCCTGCAGCTAAGCAATGAATTCTATTATACAATCCTGTCTCTTTCTGCTCCATGCTCCCTAATCATTATGTCCCAGCACCAACTCTCCTCAGTGCCTCCTACTTTCTTTTCCTCCTAAGAAAAACATGCTCTCAGGAAAGGGATAAATTCATTTAGTTTGAGATGATGAGGCTTAATGCTACCTCTCTTGAGGGTCGCTTGTTTTTTGTTTTTTTTTGGGGTTTTTTTTTTTTTTTTTGGTCGGTCGTGGGGCCTGAACTCTGGGCCTGGGTGCTGTCCTTCAGCTCTTCAGCTCAAGGCTAGTACTCACTCTACCACTTTAACCACCTCACTACTTCCGGTTTTTTCCTGCTTATGTGGTGCTGAGGAATCAAACCCAGGGCCTCATGCATGCGAGGCAAGCACTCTACCACTGAGCCACCTTCCCAGCCCCAGGTCACTTGTATTTTAACAGGGGGAAAGCCTTAAGCCAAAGGAATGAAGTGCTGCTTGCAGAATGTTAGGCATCAGCTAGTTGTAGAAGTCCATTTTGTACCATGGAAAGGCCAGATTTTCTGACAGCTCCCTGCAGAGTGGTGAAAATATCTTTGTCTTCTGGAAATCATTGTAGTTCATAGCTGATGGTCAGATTATCCAGATATTCATTGCTAGTCAATATGGTTACTGCCAATGAACTCTCAGGATAGGCTACTGGAAAGCCACTGAGAAAGCCTAGATCCTTCATATTGTACATTAACATGGTTCCATAAATACAATTAATTAACATTTGAGTAAAAGAACACAAAGATTTAAAGAGTTTGTGAAAAAAATGTATCCTGTTTGTGAGAGGTGAAACTGTCCAATTGTTACCAGTCGTCCAGTGATTACTAAACTTATCATAACAACCTTATGGAATCTACAGGCCTTGGTCCCTACCCACCCACCCCCACACACACATTTTTTCCATTCAACACTGCAACTTGGTGAGAGAACGAGACCATGTCTACACCACAGCCCCAGTTCCTCCAAAGCTTTTGCATGTATTTCAGCTAGAAGTGGCAAAGATATTAAGGATCTGAAAAGACAAGAGAGTGGAGATGAGGTACAAAGAAGTGCCTTTGTCAAAGGGAAAACTGAGTGTAATGACTTAAACAATGATATGAAATAAGCAAAGTCCTAGAATACTTTGAAACAGATTTCTGTCTGAAATAGTCTATAGTTACAGATTCCTATTTGAGGCACTTTAATAAGTACAGCCAAAAGAATTTTACACGAGTAGTGGGTTAGGGGAAGGAGGTCTATATATTTCAGTAAAACCCAAAGTCTAGATCAGGGGTTCTTAAAGTGTGTCAGGATCAGCAACAGCAGCATCCCTGGGGAGAGAGGGAGTAGAAAAGGGAGAGAAGGAACGATCCAGTGGTGTTAGTTCTTCAAGCCCCTGAATCACTATAGCCACAACAAGCTAAGCATCTGAATCTTTCCCATTGTTTTGTCTGTCATTATGGTAATTAGTTAATCTCTGGCCAAGAGACCATTACTTTGGTCAGGCACCCATTTTTCTGGTATTAAAAAATTATTGGAGTCAGGTGCCATTGGCTCACTCTTGTAATCTTAGCTATTCAGGAGGCTGAGATCTGAGGATTTACAATTCAAAGTCTGTGAGAATCTTGTCTCCAATTAGCCACCAATAGTCCTGAAGTGGAGCTGTGGCTCAAGTGATAGAGTTCTACCCTTAAGCAAAAAAGCTCAGGGACAATGCCAAGGCCCTGAGTTCAAGCCCCAAGACAGGCACAAAAAATTATTGGATTAAATCAAATCCTTGTTCAAGCTGAAAAACCTTTGGTTTGACTTAACTAGCACATTTGCCCTAATATTTTTTGTCCGAGACCACCGGGATTCAAGCTCGCTGACACTTGGCTTTGCTCATTGGCTGGCACTCTACCACCTGAGCCACACCTCCAACCCCTAATATTTTTAGCTCAGATGTAGAGAAAAGGGAAAGGTATTAGGCTTGCTTGGAATTGCCCACCCATAAATGCCCATCATGGCCTGTGTCTAGAAGAGCTCTCAAAGCATTATCTTGGATTTTAAGATTAAAGGGTATAATTTGGAAGTAATGAACCCTTGAGAAAATGAAACCAGGACACCCAGTCAATCCTCTTTGTAATACCAAGCTTTATAGAAATTTATTCCTATGTGGTCTTGAGCTTTTTTTTAAATGTCTGATTTTATAAAATGTTATGCATGCAAATGCGGCACTGCGCTCGGCGTACTGTCACCTCAAATCCATTCCTTCCTCCACGTGTGTAAGATGGTGAAAAGTATCAAAATGTGTGTTTCCATGTCTCCTAATGAACTGTAAATTTTAATCCTTACCATTCATTTTTAAATGAGATATATTTACTCTGGCTAGTAGTTAAAATTTTATTCTTTTTATTATATTTCATTGCTACCCTTTTCTACTGACTCCAAAGATTACTTTGGGGGAAATATTTCCTACTTCTATATTGTTGTATTTATCTTATTTCTGTATTTATCTGTAGCCACAGAATGTTAGAAGTGAAAGGGACCAACTTCTCTCATTGCATCGATGAGGAAACTTAAGGCCCAGAAAGGTCTAGTGGCTTTACCTAAAGTCAGTAAGTCTGGAGGCAGGACCCAGCCCCAATTCCAGGTCTCCTGCTTCTGGGCTGTTTTGTCATTTAAAGTATTGCAGTTATTTAAAAACACCACAGTTGGCTTCTATTTTTGTGACATGAATTTCCCAGGTATAACAACAAACACACACACACATACACACACACACACACACACACACACACACACACATATGCACTTTACCAAAATGTGCTAAGTTCTTTAGTTCATGAATCCAAAGATAAACTTTATTTCAGTTTAAAAACTTCAATTTCCCTCCACATTCAGTATCCGTGCCCTACTTTGTACAATGAATCTTTTCCCTAAAAATTGTATAAAGAATGGATTTTTATAGATCAAACTTTATTTTTAGTTGGGAAGCTTCCCAATATAATAGAATCTTCTGAGAGCTTCTTTTAAAAAATCAAGATGCCTACTATCATTGTCCTTTAATGTCTCTATTTATTTTTAAAATGAGAACTTTTGTATTTGATGTTTATTTAAAGTAGGGCAAACCAATATTAACATTTTTAGAATCTACTATAACCTTCCCTTCCTAATCCTTTTTGAGAAGTTTTCATATGGTTAAGTACTCATGAACTATCTTCAAGAAATTTCACTTGGATTGATATTTTCTCAATCCCTGGGCTCAAATTTCCTCTCCATCTTAGACAGTAACAAAGTTTCCTAATTAATGCGGAACACTACATGGAATCTCTCTTCCAGAACATTCTTTGCCTAGTGTTCCTTAATGTGACTCTCTTACCTACTCTTGGGGCTACTTCCATAGTTCATGTGTACTTCGCTATTCCATGGACACAAACAAGGCAACTTGAGTGCTATGCTAATCATATGAGCCTTATTTCTAGTTCTTTCTATTCCCGTTTTTCCTGAACTTCCTCTACTTTCCCTTTTCATTCATGTTATGAGGATTCTCCCTAGAGATTGGGAGGATTTTCTCCGTCATGTATCCCAGGCATTGACACAGTTTTCTGCAAAGGGCCAGAGTCATTTTTTATATTTTTTGAAGCACATGAAGTCCCTAAAGCATAGTTTTATTTGTTGCTAGTGTTATTATATAACCCCAGGAAAACATGAAAGCCCATTCTTAGCCCGTAGGCCAGGCAAAGCTTCAGGCTTAATTTGGCCCACTTGTCAGGGTTTGCTGACCCCTTAATCCAGACTATTTGGGGACAGGCATTTCTGCAACCTGCCCCATGTTTACCACATGCTGGGTTTACTGCCTTACATCTCTGGAAGGTCAGTGTGACTGCACATGGACAGGTGAAGAGGGGCTGCATATAACAAGTACTACTCTTCAGTAAGGTATCCTTTGTGGGCTGGTTCTCACACTCACTTTCATTACTGACTACCTCAGTGTAGAAATTTTCATTCTCTTATTCTCTTCTCTGGATCAGTCCTTGTCATTTCAATGGCCTCTGCTTCCCCAGGTTTGGGGTCAGCTGGCAGGAAAGAATGGGAGTCTGAATTTTCTCAGTTCTTTTGTCCTCTGACTGCTCTCCTTCCCCCTCAATGTCTGCTCTGCCAACGTGTTGGGCCACCCTGTCCTTTCCCATGCTGCCATCCCAAATTTAGAGCTGGCCTTGAAAAGCTTGGTAGCTTTGCGCCATTAGATTCTAGTCCAATCTATCATTTCCAAGAGAAATCACCAGCTTTTCAGGTTCGAAAAGCTGGTTTTAAGGCTCTGAATGTGTGTGTGTGTGTGTGTGTGTGTGTGTGTGTGTGTGTGTGTGTGTGTGTGTGTGTGCGTGTTGGTCCTGGGGCTTGAACTTAAGGCCTGGTCATTGTCCCTGAGCTAAGGCTCTGAATGTGTGTGTGTGTGTGTGTGTGTGTGTGTGTGTGTGTGTGTGTGTGTGTGCGTGTTGGTCCTGGGGCTTGAACTTAAGGCCTGGTCATTGTCCCTGAGCTAAGGCTCTGAATGTGTGTGTGTGCGTGTGTGTGTGTGTGTGTGTGTGTGTGTGTGTGTGTGTGTGTGTGTGCGTGTTGGTCCTGGGGCTTGAACTTAAGGCCTGGTCATTGTCCCTGAGCTAAGGCTCTGAATGTGTGTGTGTGCGTGTGTGTGTGTGTGTGTGTGTGTGTGTGTGTGTGTGTGTGTGTGCGTGTTGGTCCTGGGGCTTGAACTTAAGGCCTGGTCATTGTCCCTGAGCTAAGGCTCTGAATGTGTGTGTGTGTGTGTGTGTGTGTGTGTGTGTGTGTGTGTGTGTGTGTGTGTGTGCGCGCGCACATGCTGGTCCTGGGGCTTGAACTTAAGGCCTGACCTTTGTCCCTGAGCTTTTTGCTCAAGATTAGCACTCTACCACTCGAACCACAGCTCCATTTCTGGCTTTTTTGGTAGTTTATTACAGATAGTCTCACAAACTTTCCTGCTCCAGCTAGCTTCAAACCATGATCCTCAGATCTTAGCCTCCTGAGTTTCTAGAATTACAGACTTGAGCCTCCAGCACCTGGCTGTGTGTGTCTGTTTCTGCATGTCGTTTGTACCTAGTGCTAGACAGCACACTCAGTACTCACAAGAAAACTTATGAGGTACCTGCCCCCTGGGCTGCTAAACCTTCATGATAGGCACCTAGGGGTGCCCATGCAGCACCACAGCTAGGAGACATTAGCAAACCACATTGTCCTGTTTTCTAAACCTCTAATGTGAGTCTTAAAACCTTTACTTCTCTCTCTTCCCAGCTTTCAACTCCACCTGCCATACTGTAGGAGGGATGAGAAGCTGTATGCTTGTGTGAAGTGAGGTTTCTCCACTTGGACTGTGAGGGTCATTTTGCCTAACAAACCACACACTTACACACATGCTTGTGAACACCAGCCAGCATTCTCAGCGCTCTGGCACAGGGCTAGGCCAGAAGGGACTTAGAATTCCTGATCTTCTCTCTCTTGTCTTTTGAGACCTGTCCATGAAGTAATTTGAAAAAAAAAAAAATCTCCTCTGTGACACTGACAGGTAGATGGATACACCTTGAGCCAGAACTCTTAATTCCACAAGGACCCATCACTTGAACACAAGCCCTTAAAGCGTAACGTTTTTAGCCCAGCATATTTGCTTTTTAGGACTTTTAGCTTGATTTCTATCATTTGAGCCCAGGGATCTAAACACTTTCTAAAATCCAAATTTTTAAAAATCAGAGACACAAGTAACTTGAAAGATTTTTCCTCTTTCAAAGCACCCAGGAAATGGTTTCTTTCTGCCAGAATTAGGAGGGGAAATTAGGGTTACCCACAGACCCTAAAGGAGCCCAAAGACCACCTTTGCTAAAGGCCAAATGAGAGCTGAAGATTATCAGGTGGTAGCTGCCAATCAGTGGAGCATTAGGTGCTCGCTGAACTTCAACCCGTGTTTAAACACAAGCAAAGAGCCAGGAGCCAACAGACCAGTGTTCTCAGCTGAAGCAGAGTTCAGGCCACTCCCCCAGTGATGGGACTGTGAGTCAAATTTCTAGAAGAAGCAGCAACTAGGAGAGACCATGATCCCAGTCTTTGTAGGGTTCCAGCACAAAATGAAGGGAACCCTCTGTGGGGTGTTATTGCAAAGGGTTTTCTTGTCTATTCTTTCTCTCTTTTTTCTTTTTTTCTTTTTAAAGCATTCCTTACTGGCTTGCTACCAGCAATTGAACTATATTCTTTGTATAGCTAGAGCTGTTTGTGTCTTCTTAAAATAAACCTTTTTCTGTCAAAAGCACTTTGTTTCACTGCCTGAGTTTCATTGTAGGGCTAATGGCTAAATTCAGACCTTCAACATTGTTTGTGATAGCATTTTATCACTCTGTGTGTGTGTGTGTGTGTGTGTGTGTGTGTGTGTGTGTGTGTGTGTGTGTGCATGTCCCCAACCAGACCCAGTCCCCTGTACAGCCTGCCACTCACTCAGATAAGTTTCACAACAGACGGTGTGCTCACTAAAAGGAGACAGGTCACCCATTGGACGCCTGAGGACAGGTGAAGAGGCAGTGTTTGCAACAGAAGGAATCTTCCAGTCTCTGAAAAGTTAAGTAAGCATCCATTGTTGTTATGACCCATATGTCACAGGTGTGGCCTACAGCAAAGCTAGGGGTAGACTAGCATTCCATTTAGATGCCTGGTCTCCAAAATTAGTGATTTTTTTCTTTTGCATTTCTGGGGATGGGACCCAGGGTCTTGTACATGTTAGGCTAGTGCTCTACCACTGCCCTCCAGTTCGAGCTGCAGATTTGTCATTTTTAATGTTAACTAAAAGCAGGTACCTAAAAGCAAATGAAGCTACAGTCTTTCCAGGTCTTCCCTTGGCCTCCAATGCAACTCACATACATTGTGTGTAATGTTCACAAAGCCCTGAAGACCCTGAACAAACTCATGGTCCACAATATCATGCAGAAACCCAGCACACCTACCTTGGTCACATGGGCAGGTAATGTGTGCTCCCAGACTTCAACCATTCAAGTTCTGCCGCTCATAAAGCAAATCCTGACAGGAGATGGCTTTGGCACTGTCTTACTTTTTTCCCTAGCTCAGAAAGCCACTCAGAAAAGGACACCATATTGAGTTCGGCCAGAATCAACCCACCATGACCCAGTGTGTTCCTGATCACTTCCACCCCACAAAAAAAGGTATGAGCCCACCATGCAGATGGTGACAGCTCTACCTACAAGAAGGTCAACTCCTATCAAATAGGAGCCTTGCTCTCTAGTTTCTAAGATTGAGGACCTTGCAGCTCACATCCATGTCTCTCTAGGCCTTGTAAGGTTCCCAGAAAGAAAACTGCCACATAGTTCAGATAGAAGAGAGTTTATTGGGGGGCTGGGAATGTGGCATAGTGGTAGAGTTCTTGCCTATCATGCATGAAGCCCTGGGTTCCATATAAACACAAAAAGCCTGAAGTGGTGCTGTGGCTCAAGTGGTGGAGTCCTAGCCTTGAGCAAAAGAAGCTCAGAGACATCTCCCAGGCCCTGAGTTTAAGCCCCAGGACTGGCAAAAAAAGGAGTTTATTGGGGGGAGAGCAAACTGCCTGCCCCCACAGATGGAAGTGTGTGGAGAGAGAAGGGTAGGGAAAAGAGGGACTTGTGTTGAGTGGGATTATATAGGGAAAGGCAAGAAGTTGGATCACAGTGGATGCAGAAGTGATCTTAGAGCTTGGGGAACCTCTTACTGTCCAAGGGAGCCTAGACCAGGGCAGCTCAGGAAGTGGCCTCAGCAGATGAAGAAGTGACCTCCGCGTCTGTGGTCCTTTGCTGACTCGGTCAGGTGACTGGCAGATGATTACTGGTTTCAGGCAGGTGAAGAGGAAGGGGGAGGGGCTGTTCTCCCTGGCAGACCTAACAGGCCTCAGTACTAGCTGATGTCCCTAAATGGACACAAATAAATAGATAAAACCAAATCCGGGAATCGTGGTTCATGTCTATAATCCTAGCTACTCAGAGGGCTGAGATTGGGAGGATCATGTTTTGAGGCCATTGTGGACACAAAAGTCCATGAAATCCCACTTCAATCAATAAAGTTGGGCATAGTGCCATGCTCATAAGCTTAAATTAGAGGATCTCTATCAAGGCTAGCCTGGGCAAAAATGACCAAAACAGGTTAGGGTTCAAATGGTAGAGCTCTTGCAAGTGTCAATCCAAGTTCAAATCCCAGTCCTCAAAAGAAAAAAAGTCATCAAAACTGGAAACAGACACCAAGGCAAACACTAGAAAGGAGAGGAGTCATGGCTCTATCAATATAGCATTTGTTTAAAGGAAGGGAAAGTCAGAGAAGGGGCCTAACTGGATGCAAGTGGACTTGATGGCAGGTGGTCCCTTCGTGAGACCCTGCAGTTGGATGTCTGGCTGTCTCAGAACCTCTTTTGGCCACTGAAATGTGAGTTAGTGATTCTTCTAGGGACAACCCACACTGATCAAATTCATCAAATGAGTTTAGAAGACAGGTTCTGGTGTACTAATTAAGCAAGGAATGAGTTTGCCTTTGAGCAAAGGTACAAATGGAAGGCTGAGGAACTCACTTGCATCATCAGGAGTACCATGTTGTCAGCCATTTATAAAAATTGAGCCAGGTGCCAGTGTGTCATGCCTCTAATCCTAGCTACTCAGGAGGCTGAGATCTGGGAATCATGGTTCAATGCCAGCTCCAATTCTGGATTAAACATGTGTCTTTTTTGATCCAGAATTGGAGCTCAAGTGGTAGAGTACTAGCCTTGAGCAAGAAAAACTCAGGGATAACACCCAGCCTCTGAGTTCAAGCCCCAGGACCAATACCAAAACAAAACGTTTTTGATGGACAGGATCTCCCCAACTTCCCTAGGCTTCCTTCTTCTTAGCCAATAAATACAACTAGCTCCATTCCCTGAAAGCATTAGGTGGATGGCCCTTCCCTGGGGGTGCAGTCTTGATCTGGTTTCCCCCAGAAATGGACTGAGATGCAATTACTGGGCAGAATGTTCTAGGAGATGTCCTGGACAGGGTACGATGTGTGTAGAAGAGAACAGAAGAGAAGAGAGCGAAGTTGGTCTGGGCAGGAAAGAGCAGCAAAAAAGCACACTCATGGCAAGTTCTACAGTTTAAATGACTCAGGGGTTATGGTATGGCTCAGTGGTGGGGCATCTGGCTGGCATGAGAGGGCCTGGGTTCCATGTTCCATCACCAGCAACACACACATCGAGAGAGAGAGAGAGAGAGGAAGGAATGCAATATGTCAGGCACCAGTGGGTGGCTCACGCCTGTAATCCTAGCTACTCAGGAGGCTGAGACCTGAGGATCACAGTTCAAATACAGCCTGGGCAGGAAAGTCTATGAGACTCTTATCTCCAATAAACCATTCATAAAACCGAAAGTGGCACTGTGGCTCAACTGGTAGAGCACTCGCCTTGAGCTGAAGAGCTGAGGGACAGCGCCCATGCCAGAGTTCAAGCCCCACGATCAACAAAAAGAAAAAGAAAGAAAGAAAGAATGCAATAGGTGTCTTGTGCTAGATGGCAGGACAGGCTTCCACACCTCTGCTTCCAATGAGTTATTGGCCCTGGACCACCTTTCAAGAGCATGATCTTGAGTGAGGCATTTCTATATTGCTCAGACATTCTTGAAGGAGTGGACAGCTGAAGAAGATTCTATGTTGGCAGGGCTCCCAGTATGTGAGCAACAAGTTCTTCCTTGATGGGAGCTCTCAGTGACAAAGGTCTGTGTTCATCACAGGCTCTCTCTCCCATAAACAGCACGTGCTAAACACTTGCTGATACTTTTTTTGTGGTAGTGGTGCTGGGGTTTCAACTCAGGAACTCTTGATTGCTAAGCAGGTATTCTACTATGTGAGCCATACCACCAGACCTTGCTTTCAGTTATTTTTTGGGATAAGGTCTAGCTTTTTGTTTTGTTTACCCTGTAGCTGGCCTCATACCACAATCTTACCTATGCCTCCTGAGAAGCTGGGATTATTGTGTAAACCACTGTGCTCAGACAGGGTTTTGCTAACTTTTTGCCTGAGCTGGCCTGAAACAAAGATCCTCCAGATAATCCACTACTCAAGTAGCTGGGATTACAGGTACGACCCACATCTCAGTGCTTAGTTCATTTTTTCACACTGGGTGTCTCACTTTTGCCCAGAATGGTCTTGGACCACAATCTTCTAACCTCTGCTACCTGAGTAGCTATCTGAGAAGCTACCTGAGGTGACAGGTGTGTGCTAAGCCCAAATAATTATTTTCTTGATACTTTATAGGGTCTGAGGTTTGAACTTGAAGCTTTATGCTTGCTCAGCTTGCTTGCTCAGGTAGTACTCTACCCCTTGAGCCACATCTCCAATCTGACTTTTTGCTGGTTAATTGGAGATAAAGTCTCACAAACTTTTCTACCTGGCTGGCTTCAAACTGTGATCCTACTTATGTCAACCTCCTGAGTAGCTAGGATTACAAACATGAGCTATTGGCACATGGTCCCCACTTCTTATTTTCTAATGTCCCTTTCTATAAAACTCATCCATTCCATTCTCTAGACCAATTGCAGTTTATTTGATGAGGTTGACAGCTTTTTTAAATTATCATCTCCACCCTGGGACACAGGCTGGCCATTTCAATTAAATTTTTGTGTTTCTCCATTAGGCCCCATTAGGAAAGTCTTTCCAGTGCATCTCATCATGTGTCATATGCAAATGGATAAATAGACCCATCATAAAATACTTTGATTAAAATGGTATTATTCACTATCAAGCACCTACCAAAGACAATGCTCTGTGTGTCAATCCATCTACTTCTTTATTTCTTCTATACACAGGTATGCGATGAGCTCCCACTGTAAACTAGGCAGAGTCCCAGGTGCAGGTGTAAAGCACTGGCCAATGCAGATCCAGGCATTCTCTCTTGAGACCAGGCCCAAAGGTCCTGACATTGCTGCTAGGAGTCACCACCTTGGCTGCAACCTAGTCATACCTACTCCACTCTGATCTATGGTTCTCCTCATCCCTATCTTCTTCATTGGTGCCCACAGAGCCCCATGTCTCAGGACTGATAAATACTCCAGTGGCTCAAACAGAAAGCCCCTCTCGAGCCAGGTGTCATCCGTTCACTCCTGTATCCTAGCTACTAAGGAGGCTGAGATCTGAGGAGTGAGGTTCAAATCCAGCCTAGCCAGACAAATTCAAGAGACTCTTATCTCCACTTAACCACACCAAAAAGGCTAAAGTGGAGCTGTGGCCCAAAAAAAAAAAAAAAAACAACTAAGTGACAGGGTACAGGCCCTAAGTTCAAGGCCAGTACCAGTACAAAGAAAGGAAAAAATGAAATGAAGAAAGAGAAGACAGACAGAAAGGAAAGAAGGAAGGGAGGAAAGAAGGAAGGAAGGAAGGAAGAAAGAAAGGAAAGAAAGAAGAAAGAAGGAAGGACCTTACTTTTCCGTAGGTCTTTCCTCAGCACTTCTGCACATGGAGATAGCACAAGCACCTTGCTCCCTCCCCATTGCAGTTTCCAGACCAAGGCTGCTACACCTGTCAGGTGCCACCTTTCATCTGGGGTCTCCCCACGTCCCCATCATACCCAAAAGCAGATCTTAGCAGCGTTCATTTAGAGGATCGATTCCACATTCTTGGTTTCTCTTTCCTCCAATCACCTCCATTTGTGCCCAAGTAGATTTTGTTGTTGTTGTTCTTGGTCATGGGGCTTGAACTCTGGGCCTGGGCACTGTCCCTCAGGTGTTCAGCTCAAGGCTAGTGCTCTACTACTTGAGCCACACCAGCACTTGTAGTTTCCTGGTTGTTTATTGGAGATAAGAGTCTCATGGCCTTTCCTGCCTGGGCTGGCTTTGAACCGTGATCCTCATATCCTAGCCTCATTAGTAGCTAGGATTACAGGCATGAGCCTCCAGGGCCTGGCCCAAGTAGATATTTTTATGGTCTATAACCAATGGACCACTAAAAGGTAACCTCTTCAATTTCCCTTGTGCTCTCAGATCTTTTTACTCCTCCTCTAAAATTACTTCATTACAACTCTTCAACTTACATAGTTCACCATCAAAGAAAAAATTCAAATGTCCAATAAACATGAAAAGGACCAAGTGCCAGTGACTCATGCCTGTAATCCTAGCTACTCAGGAGGCTGAGATCTGAGGATCTTGGTTCAAAGTCAGTCTGGGCAGGAAAGTCTGTGAGACTCTTATCTCCAATTAATCACCAAAAAGAAATCTATACAGTTTCTAGTCCCAGAGTTCAAGCCCCAAGACTGGTGCGTGCACATGCACACACACGCACATGCACACACACGCACATACACACACACGCACACACAACTGAAGAAGTGCTTAATCTCAGCCAGGCATGCTGGCTCATATCTATAATCTCAGCTACTGGGGAGGCTAAAATAAGGAGGCTCAAAGTTCCAAGCCAACCCAAGAAAAGTCATAGAGCCCTCATTTCAACCAATAACTGGACATTGTGAGGAAAACCTGTCATCCTAGCTGCACAGAAAGCATAAATACAAGGATTACAGTTCACATTAGCTCCAGGGGGAAAATATGAAACCATAAACGAGATGCTGGTGTCTCACTCCTGTAATCCTAGCTACTCTGGAGGCTGAGATCTGAAGATTGAGGTTCAAAGCCAACCTGAACAGAAAAATCCAAAAGACTCTTATCTGCAATTAACCAGAAAAAAGCAGGAAGTGGAGGCATGACTCAAGTGGTAAAGCTTAAGTTGTGGGGGGGGGGGGGGGGGGGGAAACAATTGAGAGTGACAGGTCCCAAAGTCAAGCCTTGATTCTTTTTTTAAATCTATTTTTATTGTCAAGGTGGTGTACAGAGGGGTTACATACATAAGGTAATGAGTGTATTTCTTGTAGAACATTGTTATCCCTCCCTTGTTTTTCTCCCACTGTCCCTTCCCCCAATCCCCCCAAGTTGTAAAGTTCATTTCCAACATATTGTCTTGTGAGTATCGCTGTTGCCTTGATTCTTTTTTAAAGATAAAAAATAAGCTTAGAGAAGCTTCTAATTTTCCAAGAAGTGAGTGGGCAGCAATGTCAACCCTTATCCATCCTTGTTGGCAGAGCACATCAGAGCAGGCCTCTCACCAGACTTGGCAGCTGTGACAAAAATACTCTTGCACACACACAAAAAAAGAACAACAGTACGAACAGACGAAGAGAAATACTATCAGGAGGCACACATATGGGAAAATGTCTTCTCTTCCTAATGAGAAAAGATATATTTAATTTCAAAACCTGAATGGCCATTTTTTCCGCTAATTATAGAAGCAAAAATTAAGAAATTGCAATATGTCAGGCTGGAAAGAATACCCAGTTGATGCTTGGGTGCTGGCTGCTAACAGTAAATACATAGCAGCCCTTGGAAATCTAATGTGGCAACGAGAGTAGGGTTCCCACGCTCGCAGTTCCCACGCTCGCTCCATCAACAGAGGAACCTACTGCTGGCAATCTGTTCTAGGCAAACTGGACAAAGGGCAGCAGGAAGGAGTGCAGAAGGGATTCCCAACTCTCTAAGCCCCGCCCACAGCCATAACCAGTAGCAAACCCAGCACCCACCTGACAAGCACCTTTGATGGCTGGCAGGCCGCAGGGCTCTAAGAAAGGTGGCTCAGTGGTAGAGCGCTTGCCTTGCATGCCCGAGGCCCTGGGTTTGATTCCTCAGCAAAACATAAACAAAAAGAAAAAAGCCGAAAGGGGCGCTGTGGCTCAAGTGGTAGAGCACTAGCCTTGGGCTGAAGAACTGAGGGAAAAGAGCCCAGGCCCAGAGTTCAGGCCCCACGACCGGACCCAAAAAAAAAAAAAGAATAGCCACGAAAGCCTAGCAAACCTGAATTTCTTTGGGGCTCCTCCTTCCCAATAAATGGCTTACTGAGTAGCTGAGATTACAGGCATGAGCCACAGCTGCCAAAAGCAGTGGGGGGGGGGGGGGGAGGAGTGTGTCTGTCTGTCTGTATATATGTATGTATGTATGTATGTGTAACAGTCCTGGGGCTTTGAACTCAGGGCTTGGGCACTGGCCCTAAGCTTTTGTGCTCAAAGATAGTGCTCTACTACTTGGGCCATAGTTCCATTTCTGGCTTTTTGGTGTTAATTAGAGATAAGAGTCTCATGGACTTTCCTGCCTGTGATGGCATTCAACCGTGATCCTCAGATCTCAGTCTCCTGAGTAGCTGTGATTACAGGCATGAGTCACCAGCATCCAAACAGAATTGTTTTAAAGCCAAATATATACACGTGAATACACCATATTTAAGGTAAACAAGACAGAATCATCAAAAACTACAAACTAAAAAAAAAAATCAAATATGATGGTTCATGCCTATAATCCCAGAAGTCGGGAGGCTGAAGCAGCAGGATGGCAAATTCTAAGCCAATCTGGGCTACATAGCCAATTTGGGATTGGGATATATAATAAAACGTGTCAAAAAAAAAACAAAAAAAAACCAGGAATCACATCATATCAGCAGCCCATGTAAAATCGAAATTCCCGCCCACCCCATCCCAGCTTCACTCTAGGCTGGGCTTCCTTTTATTGCAGCAAACCCCCTCATCAGGGCCTCTGCACTTGCTGCTTCCTGTTGGCTCCTCCCCCACATTCATCCTTCATGCTTCTTTAGGTTTCAGCCCCAAAGTCACACCAGGGAAGCTTCTGTGAGCCACCCATGTAAAGAAGCCTCCCTCTCCCAGCTCTGGTCAATCTTGCTCCCACCAGAAGTCTTTAAATCAGTTGAGGTCATTATTTACATAGGACCTTGTTTTCCCCCATCACAACTACAGCATAGCTTTGGGAGAGTAAATTTTTTTTTTTTTTTGTCACTTGTGGGGCTTGAATTCTGGGTCTGGGCGCTGTCCTTCAGCTCTTCAGGTCAAGGCTAGCACTCTACCACTTGAGCCACAGCACTACTTCTGGTTTTATGAATGGTTTATTGGAGATGAGTCTCATGGACTTTCCTTCCTGGGCTGGCTTAAACCTCGATCCTCAGATCTCAGCCTCCTGAGTAGCTAGAATTACAAGTGTGAGCCACCAGTGCCCGGCTGAGAGCAGAAACTTGTGTCTCTGGCTCACTACTGCATCCATAGCACCTAAAGGTCATCCACACTCTAAATGTATGGAATGAATGAAGGTAGACATAGCAAAGTTTCTGACAAGGTTAGCAGTGAAGAAACCCTTTTAGTCTAACACAACTTTCAAAATCTATTCATAATCCTCAATTTGGGGAAAAATAATTCAGAAAATGATAGCCAAAGTATTTTAGTGTCACAGTAGAGTGAAGTAAAAATAATAGTTTTTTTTATTGTGAAAATACTGTACAAAGGGGTTACAATTACATGAGCAAGGTAATGAGTACATTTCTTATCAAGCATTGTTGCCTCCTTCTTTGTTTCTCCTTACCCCTCCCTTCCTATCTTCGCCCTCTCCCCCCACCCCTCACTCCTCCCCGACCTCCCCACTCCGCGCCAAAGTTGTAAAGTTTATTTTTGGACGTAACGCATTGTACAACTCATTGTTGCAATGGGTCCACCTGTATCCCTATTTAAACGATTTGTTTTTTCCCTTCCCCTCCACAAATTATACCAACATCAAATACAGTGAAAGCAGGGGTTATACCATAGGGGAGGGACATACAAAGCAACAAAGAAATCATCTTATAAATATGTTAGAAACAATAGAAGAAAGAAAACGCATTTGAGTCCTTATCTCGGGGTTCATTTCACCTAACATCAACTTATCTGACCGTTTCTGCTTGTCTCAGACATATACTAGTTATTGCAAATAAGGGAAACTATGGGACCTATATTTCTGTGGGCCTGGCTTACTTCACTTAATATAGTTTTTTCCAAGTGAAATGTTATGTTTATTTAGTTATTTTTGCTAGTACTGAGATTTGAACTCAGAGCCTCATGCTTGCCTAAATGCTTTACCACTTGAGCTATGCCTCAGTTATTTTTCAAATAGGGCCAACTTTGGACCTATGGCCTCTTATGTAGCTTGGATGACAGGTACATGTCACCATGACCAACCTATTGATTAAGATGAGGTCTTACTTTTTCCCTGGCCTGACTTCAAGGAAGATCCTCTTAATCTCCATTTCTTGAGTAACTAAGATTATAGGCTTGAGCCACCATACCTAATCTTGCAGGTCTTCATATATATATATATATATCTTGATTTTATCCTTGACTACCCAGCTGTGTGATCCTTGGCAAGTGAATTTGCTTCTCTAAACTTTGATTTCTCGCTACATAACTGGAAGTAACAATAAAAGACTTCAGGTAGTTCTTTGAAAGCAGATTATGTACACAACCTGTACTAGAAGACATATTGCAAAGTATCCCTTGGTAATGGTGATGCAGGGTAAGTGGCTTTACATGGGCGATGAATGTAAACAGAGAAAAAAAGAGTCCAGAATGAGCCTAGGGCAGGGTATGTTTTATATATTGGGTAGAGAAAGAGACAACATGACACGCACCTTTGCTGTGTACTGCACAGGAAAAGCCAAGAGGACACTGTGGGAGCAATGTGGCTTCTGCTCTACTAAGTGGACAGGCAGGCTACAAAAACAAGATGCAAATGAGGACTGCCATTGTGTTTATCCATGCCCAAAACATTCCTGGTTCAAGTGCTCAGTAAACATGCTGAAGACATGAATGAATGAATAAGTAAAGGAATGACTGCAAAGTAATTTATAGTGGACGACCACTCCATTGGATTAAACAAACATAACAGCAATGGTAGTCAGAAGGTATGATTAAAAATAGTTTGTCCGGGGCTGGGAAGGTGGCTCAGTGGTAGAGCACTTGCCTTGCATGCATGAGGCCCTGGGTTCGATTCCTCAGCACCACATAAGCAGAAAAAGCCGGAAGTGGCGCTGTGGCTCAAGTGGTAGAGTGCTAGCCTTGAGCTGAAGAGCTGAGGGACAGTGCCCAGGCCCAGAGTTCAGGCCCATGACTGACAAGAAGAAGGGCTTGAGTGTGGCTCAAGGTAAAGTGCCTGCTTAGCAAGCAAAAGGCCCTAAATTCAATTTCAGTACTGCCTCTATCACAAATAATGGTTGTATGGTAGCTATGTTTCTAGATGGGCTTGACCCAAAAATTTTCAAACTGTTCTTTTGTTGTTGTTGTTTGTTTGTTTTTCCAGTTGTGGGGCCTGAACTCTGGGCCTGGACGCTGTCCTTCAGCCCTTCAGCTCAAGGCTAGCACTCTACCACTTGAGCCACAGCATCACTTCTGGCTTTTTCTTATGTGGTGCTGAGGAATCGAATCCAGGGCCTCATGAATACAAGGCAAGCACTCTATTACTGAGCCACCTTCCCATACCTCAAACTGTAGTTTTGTGTGCATTATTTATTAATGGTGTTGTTTAGAAATAGATGTGATAAATTTTTAAATCTTTTATTATCAACATCATAGCAGCACAAGAAATTTTACTGTAGATTATTTTTGTATATAATTTCTTTTTAATAAAAATTAAATGTGGAAACAGGACAAAATAGTTTATTAGAGCCTGGCACTGGTGGCTCACGACTGTAATAGTAACTACTCAGGAGGCTGAGATCTAAGGATTATGGTTCAAAGCCAGCCTAGGCAGGAAAATTTGTGAGGCTTTTGTGTCCGATTAACCACCAGAAAATGGGAAATGGAGCTTGGCTCAAAGTGGTAGAGCACTAGCCTTGAGTGAAAGAGCTCAGGGTACATTGCCTAGGCCCCAGGACTGACCCAAAAAATAGTTTGTCCACATTCTCTGCAATGTTGGGCTGTCTTTTTCTCCTGAAGTTTCCCTACTCTGTCTGTCTGTGTGACTTTCAAGGTATAATGTCCCTCACATAGTGTGGGAGTCCTTGCAACATTCCTGACTTGCTTTATCTTCATTCAACTCAATTTAATACAAAAATATTTATAGTCATCCCAGCCTGCAGGGGCCCTGCTCAGATTGCTCCCAGTTGTAGAGGAGACAGGTGGGTCCACAGGACACCAAATTCCACCCCCCTCCCCTCGTGCTTTCATTCACACATCCCCAGCTGCCAGCTTGTGACCCTAACCCACACCTCCCAACAGCCCATGCAGATATATGGTTAATGAAAAGAATCCTGCCTGCAGACACCTGGGACAGGTAGCAGGGGACACTCCATCATGAAGGTGACTTGTCTTAGACCATCTTTATGAACTTTATTCATAGTTGAATAAGTGTGCTCATTGCTTCTCTGGCTTGGATTAAGTCTTAGGGGTTTTGCTAGAAGGGAACACGGTACACTATCACACTGCCATCCAACATGACATCAGCTTAGAGGGCTTTCATTATGGTGGTCAACACACTCTGTCAAAAATGGAAAAGCAGGCTGACTTATGCAAACCAAGTTGTCATTTATGTTTGCTGACAGCACCATGTGCCAAGCATTGCTCTAGCTCTCTAATCACACAAATTCATTTACCCTCCCAACATCCTGTGAGGAAGACACACATATGACCTCTGATCACAGACAAGCCCAGAAATGTCAACTGACCCAGGACTGCTACAGCTAAAATTAGGTAGGATTCAATCCAGACAGCTGGGTTCCAGTGCCATCTTCACACACAAGACCCTTGAAACACAGAAGCTGTCTACTTCTTTTTGTATTGTGTTCTCTGAGGGAATGTTGATTACAATCTGGATCATATGACCTATTACTTTCTGTTACTGGAGACTGAACTCAGGGCCTTGTGCTTGCTAAGCAGGCACTCTACCATTTGAGCCACATCCCCAGACCTTTGTCTGCTTTAGCTATTTTTCATGTAAGGTTTAGGGTTTTTTGATTGCTTGTTTGTTTTAGTGCCAGTCCTGTGGCTTGAGCTCAGAGCCTGAATACTGCTCTTGAGCTTTCATGCTCAAGGCTAGTGCTATAACATTTGAGCTACACTTCCAGCTTTTTTTGGCGGTTAACTGGAGAATCTCAAAGACTTTCCGGCCTCTGCTGGCTTTGAACTGTGATCCTCACATCTCAGCCTCTTGAGTAGCTAGGATTACAGACATGAGCCA